CCAGCTGTCATGTCTGAATAAATTAGAAATCCACCCAAATAATTTTCTATATTGTCTACGAATTGAGGTTAGTATGCATGAAAATACTCTTTATCTCTGATTTCTAAATTATTTTACATCCAAACCACTGATAAGACATTAGGACTACATAGGTAAGGAAAACATCTGGTTAAACCTTATGAAGGCTTGTAAATATTTACTAGATACATACTTCACGTCTTCTGTAGATTACGGTGCAAATCTAAGTAACAAAAAGTATTATGAATCGGAGTGTGAGGATTTGCAAATACTACCAGTAAACCAGACGCTGAGACAATACAGCCATATTGTAAACATTTAAACTTTTGAGTGTCTTAGCTTTTAAAACGCTAGTCTGAATTTATATTCATAAAAGTTCCCCCAGCTCCTTTGTTAAATGTGCAATTAAAGCTGACCTGATTAAGAAGACCTGCTTTCTCAGTCTTGTTGGTAGGACACATTGATTAGAAAGCCTGGGAATCCTCATTCCTGTCCAAGCAGTGATCTCTCCCTGGGAGATCACTGATTAATTAATGAGTGTGTTTACCTGTGCGTGCGTGTTTGGGCAGATTGGCCTCTGCATGTAGCATGGCTGAGGGACAATGACAGTTACTGGAATTATGCATCTTCGAACTTGAACGATAGCGTAGCATAACCTTCGCACAGAAGTCCTACCCAGTTATGTCTGTACCTTCTCAAGGTACATTGTCATTCATTTACATTTTGGGATGACTATGTGTAGGTTTCAAATGATTTGATAAAAAAATAACCTCCAATCCCATTAAAATGAACATCAAACTCTCAGTGAGGTTCTAAGAGATGCTTTGCAAGCCTGTGAGGTCTGACAAGGCGATGATGTTGTTAGGAGCTGTACTGATAGTTGCTGAGATAACATAAACGGACTGTAACTTATTGTAACGATTTGAAAGAAAGGGGACTAAAAGTGATCCCAGTACAACCAGACTCGGTGGCGAATGAAGAATTCTTGGTGCTGATCATATGAACGTGTTCTAAGAAATATTTTGCTACAACCATACAATGGGAAATTGCATCGTTTTTGATTTTGCCATTTTTGACAAACCTGTTGGTGTTCCCAGGGGAGAATATCTCTTTCAGCAAGCTCTGCTAACACTGTTTTGAAGGAAATCCCTTTACGGGTTTTACCAGCATTTAAGAGGAAGACTACTTTTATTAGTAGTATGTTTTACTATTAAATAAAATGTACCTGGCCAAGGAGAACTTTTGTGATGCTTAAGACCCCTTAATTCACAGTATGTGTTCTCCAGCTTACAGAGATGATGAGAGCTGTCTTTTACCTCAGAACTGGGCTGCAAAGAGAAAGAGCCTTGCTGGAGTCAGTTGGGGTGGGAGATTTAGACCTGTACAGAGGCGGATTCAGTCAGTGATCCTTAAAGCCCCTGGCATTTCATAGGGTCGCCTTTGTTTGTAGGGTATATTCTGTTTCCTGCGGTCCCTGTGAATCTCCTCGTGCAAAACGTGTGCCTGCACTTTGCATTGGGAGGATTCAAATTGCCCCATGCTAAATGCTTAACAGAATACTTCTTGTTGTCAGAGTCTTTGTGCTTTTCCTTTCTCTCTGTCCCTTTTACCTTTTCCCTGCCAAAAGAAAATCACTAGATGCGTGTACGTAATGGTTTCAACTTTAAAAAAGTAATTGGATTCTCACGGAACTTCTCTCCCTTGCTCCACCATCTCCAAGCGACATGATGTGTGGCCATTTCTTGTCTGTTTCTCATATCCCTTTTTGAGATCCTAACCCTGCTCTGCATCACTTTTATAGACCCAAACCCACATGGTTTTGATTTGGCAGAGAATGGCAGATTGCTCCATATTAGAAAGGATGTGGATGCTTGTTTTTGGATTTTGTTTGGTGTTACTCAACTACATCTCCTGTTGTTTCCATATTGAACTTGGCCATAAACTAAACAGTATGCTATATGTCTTATGTTGATCCCTAAGATGGAGCTGCCCTGACAGCACTTCTACCTTTGTCTTTTCTGATTCAGATGAAATAGACTTCTGGGTATTTTTCATGCAACCTCTTACTACAAAGCATTAATCAGTTTGAGAGAAAATTAGGACTTGTAGATTCAAGTACATTTACATTGGGACTTCTTTTACTGACAGCACATAAAAGCTGGACAGTGTCTATAAATACGTGTATCAGTTTTAAGGCTCCTTTACACTATTACAGTGCTACAAAGACGATTAGTCCCTGATGGGAAACTACTATTGAGTAAGAATCTTCAAATTGCCTGTTTTTTAGTTGCTCGTACCTATGAAATAAATGTTCATTCCCCACCCGCTGCAAATCCTCCTATATCAGTCCCTACGCGAACCTTTTAGAGAGAATTTAGGCAGAATTCAGCCATTTTCACGTTATGCAAAGCATAAAGAAAAATGCATCACGTCTTCTAGATTACCTGGTAGAACAATTGACTCTGAAAAGCCCAAGTATCCTTTGCTTCATGATTCTTATTTGGAAAGGAAAACTAAAGTGTAAAGGAAAGCAAAGTAGGCTTTCCCAGCTTCAAAATACACTAATCTGCTCTCTGCATACCTATTAAGATTTTCTTCCAGTTTCTCCTTCTGCCTCAGCCCATTCCCAGGTAAGGGCTGAAAACGAGACAGAAGCACGAGGTGGTTCTGAACACTAGCACCTTTCCTAAAACATCACGTTCCATTGAAAGCTGCTGTGGTTGCAAAACAGTCTTAAAAACGTGAACCAAGCGTAACCTGGGCATAGATGTCTGCTTAAGTTTTCACAGAGACTGAAATAATAGCTCTGAGAGATGTGAGCCTCGTCTCAACAGGGTTTTTTCTTGCATGCCCTCTATTTTTGATGTGAACTTTCCCCACCCTTCCCGCTCTTCCAGGCAGGCAAGGTCTAATCACTGTATCCAGTCAATTTACTCTAGTGACAAGGCACATATTTACTTTGGGAAAGAAACCTTACCTATTTTTTCTCCAGTTACGATAAAATAAATTCCAAGAGACCTTTTGGTTATATCTGCCAAGACAGACACCAGTCCAAGAGACTGGTTGGAATCACACAGTAGATCAGCCTGACGGGCTGCCAGAATACTCCTCTGCCTATAGAAGTGGCTAGCATCAGCAGCTTGAGAAGAGAGAAACAAACTCACAGTAGGCTTATAAAATATTGAATATAACCCAAAATACAGATTTACTGAAATCCTGAAACACAGCATTTTTTTTTCACTTTCTGGTACACTTCAAATGGAGTTTTTCCACAATTAAAATATCTCAATATTTGAATAATCACCCAATCCAAATCCAGTCTTGCTAAGTTATTTGCCCTATTTTGCAGCAAAGAGTTTCAAATTCCGTGTGCTTTACGGTACATACGGGGCGAAAGACGGCGGGCAGAGGGGAGGTAGAGACAGACGTACAGACAAGACTGTGATCGTCTCCCTGCCCAGGCCCTTTCCCGGCTGCTGCGGAGGCCGGCTCGGCCCTGGCGCAGCTCTGCGGGCAGGGTGCTGCCCCCAGGTCCCTGCCCTGCGCTTCCCGCCGGTCCCGGCTGACCCTACCAGCCCAGCCAAACGGAACAGCGGGCGGGTTAAGGCTGCCTGCTGCAAGGGCCTCCCGCGGTATACAAAAATACCTATTTGATGATTTTTTTCTAACAAAAAACCCAAACCCTGAGCTAGATGAAGCGCATAGTTATGTGTGAAGGATACTAAAGCCCCAAACAATTTCATTTACTTCAGTGGGAGTTGCAAATTCTGGCTGTTAAAACAGAGCCAAGAATTATTGCTAAATGAAGGCTGGGAAAGTAAGAACTTGAAAACTAAGAAAATCCCAAAGCCAAGGTTTCTGCCGCAACATTCAGTCGTTTTTGCTGCACATCTATATGTTTTATTATTATTTAATCTATATCCTGTGAGGTGTGTAGGATGTGTAATGAAGCCAAAACAATATTGCTTTGGAAAAGTTAGTATTTGTAATTTCCTGACTATTGAATATTTGGTTTTTCAGCCTCCGTAACGCAGTAACGCTGTTTTATGTGTTTAATATATAATTGGCTTGAAATTTTTTTTTCCTTCTTTTTAACTGTTGATATGATGATTAGTTTCTGGAAGAAGAGTGAAAAGAATGACGTTTTTTCTTTGGCCCAGTACCACAGAATCTATTTTACGCAGTTTTTCATTGCAGTGATACTATGCTGGTGAGGGAAACTTGGTGTAGGTGGGAATTTGGCTGCTCAGTGCCTCTCAGATGAATGAGACTTGGAAGCCTCTCAAGGACGGTGTTATTTTTTTCTTCCTTTCCAAACTCACTGGAAACACTCGAGGGTATAAAGCTTTTTATGTGTGTTTACAGGACGGTGCGTTTACTCCAGCGCCTTCCCCAGCTGCACCACCTCTAAAGCGGTTCAGGAGAGTGTTTGTTTAGCACTCGATAAAAATAAAAAGCTAAACAGATTACCGCAGGTTAAATTAACATTTATGACCCTTAGGAGGAAGAGCCCCAGTTGCCCGCCGCGCTGAAAGAACGTAAAAGGGATGTTAAGGTCTGTAAGTTCACGCACCCGCCGGACTCATCTCAGCTTATTTTGCCGCGGGCGGAGGAGCTGGTGAGGCGAAGCACGGCCGGGCCGGGCCGGGCCCGCCCTCCCTGCGCGGTCCCGGGCCGTCCCCCGCCCAGGGGCTGCAGCCCCGCGGTGCCCAGCGCACCTGCGGCGGAGGGGCCGGGGCTGCGCGAGGCCCCGCGGCCGCCCGCTCGCCGCCCGGCCCTCCCCCGCCGGGCTCAGGTGACACCGGCCCCGGCGGCTCCCCGGGCCGCCGCGGAGCTTCCTGGTTCCCAGAAGGTGCCGGAGCGCCTGCAACAGGAACTGAGAGGCGAGGGGAGGAGGCGGTGCCGCCGCTCCCGCTGCAGTCGCGGCCCGAGCCGGGGGAGCGGAGCAGCCATGGGCCGCCGCCCGCCGCCGCCGCCGCAGCGCTGAGCCGCCCGCGCCGCCGGCAGAGGGGCCGGCGCTGCCCCCTCGCCCCCGCCGGGCGGGGCGCTTCTCCCTGCGGGGCGCTGGAGCAGCCGCCGCGGCCCCGCGATGTGACCATGGACAGCAGGTTCAAGTGAGTGGGGGCTGCGGGCGAGGGGCCGCGGCGGGCCGAGCTCCGCGGCGGGCGAGCAGCTCGTAGGCCCCGGCCCGCCGGCAGGGAGGGAGGGAGAGGGAGGGAGGGAAGGGAGGCGGGGGAGCCCACCCGGCGGCAGCGTGCGAGGGGCCGGGCGCGCCGCGGCCGCTGAGTGACAGCGGGGCGGGCGGCGGCGGCGGGGCCGGGAGCGGGCGCCGCGCTGCGCTCCGCGCCGGGCCGCGCCGGGGCGAGGCGGGACCCGCGGCGCGGGGGGAGCGGGGCGGCGCCCCCCCGGCCCGGAGCGGGGGGAAGGAGGCGGCGGCCGCGGCCCCCCCCCCCCCCCGCGGCCGCTCCCCCGCCCCTCGCAGCGGCCCCGGCGCCCCCGCCCTGCCCTCGCCTTCCTCCGCCGCCGCCGCCGCGGGGCAGCGCGCTGCGGCAGCCGCCGGCCTCGCCGGGCCGCGCCGGCTCCCGGGCGGCGGTGTCGGGGCGCGGGGGCGGGCGGAGCGGCGCCCGCTGGCGGTCTGCCGCCGAGAGGGGAGCCCGAAATGGTGAAATGGTGGCGGCTCCTTCCCGAGGCGCCCGGCCGGCGTGGGGGCAGCGCGGCCGCCGGCCTCGGTAGCCAGAGCTCCCGAAGGCCCGGGCAGGGTCTGCGACATTCATCTCTGCAGTAACGACAAACCTTTTTTTTTTTTTTTTTTTTTTTTTTTTGCCATTATGGTATGGCAGGTGCAAAAGAGGTTTTTAGGAGTTTGGAACCACTGCTTTTCAGCCTCACCTGCCAGGAGCGACCGCCCGGTCTTGCTGGCACTGGAAAACCAACAAGCTGTTAAACACGGGTTTCAGGAATTGACAAAGATCTCTGTGTAAACATATGATGAATAAGCAGGCTGCTACCCGGCAGTTGTAAAGGAAATGAGAGACAGTCTGACAATTCTCAGACTAGTTTGACACATTTGTGTCACTTCTAAGTGTAGTGGGATGTGAGGAGTAAACTTAGAAACATTTTTCTGCAAGAGCAGATTTGGAGTGGAATAGTGAAAGACGGAAGGCAGTGCTACTTCAAAGAGCTTTCTTCATGAGGGTAAATCAGTTAGGAGTTGAGGAAGAAGCCTTCGTTTGGTGGTGTAACACTTCAACTGATTCACAGTAAAACTTCAGAGTTGTCTGGTCTGGGTTTTAGGAAGAAATGGAAGGGGCAAATGGCCTGAGCTGGAGAAGCATCATGGGGATATGTCAGGGTGTTTTAGAAGAAAGATTTTTGTGGTTCGCTTTTCTAGGTGGCTCAGTGAAGCCAAGCCTTATCAGTTTCATTCTGAACCTGCTTGCCAGCCAGAGGAACAATGAATGAACTTTAATACTAGAGTAAATCTCCAATATCCTAGATTTAGACTGTTGTAACTGAGAAGAATTTGATCTCCTACACACAGGATCAGTAGATACAGGATTTTCCCAACTAAATGTTTTAAAATATGATGCAAGGAAAGATTGTGACAGGGGTGGGTTATGTCTCCATAACCTGAATTAGACTATAATTGAATTACCTCAGTTGATGATGGTGCTGAGATCAGTGAAAGCATGTACCGAATCAGTTAATTTGTGACAGCTGAAATTTTCCCCAGTTCAGCCCTTGGGTTTAGTTCAAAACTTTCTTTAAAAAAACAGTGTAATAATTTGCTGCGTGCTTGATTTGAAGCATTCTAGAAACTTGGAACAAAGTCTTGGAATTTTTATTTGCCTAAAACTCGAGTTGACTTTGGTGGGAGTGTTACCCAAGAGCAGAGTTCAAGTGTGAGCCTTTTGTGTGGTTAAATAGATAATTGATACAGGTGCGGTTATACCACTTGTTTTTAATACAAATAGCAGTGTGCAGGGTAGGCAGAGAGAGGTGGGATGGTATAGTCATGGCATTTAGAACTGTTTTAATAAATATTTAGTTTGGGCTTAGGTTGAGTGCTAATTGCTGTTAGCATATGCAGTACGTTATTATCAGGTGTGTGTTTACCAGGGATGTGAAAGAGCCATTGGCCATCACACAGAGCTGACCATGATGGCTGCTGTAGATATGGAGGCCTTATCTTCCTGGCTAGCTTGGGATTGTGTCCATCCCTCGTTATTGCATGAATGTTTTCTGACTCACTGGATCATGCCTGAGATTCAGCCTTTAAAGTCAAAGTTGATGATCATTCTCTTGTGAAAGAGCCAACTTAGTGATTCTCAGCCAGGTGGTAATCATATGCATGTAAAGGGTAGTGGCTAAATTAGTGGAATTAAAATGGAAGTCGAATGATGGGATATTCCTATTAAGTCAAAATAAAACATAGATTTTTAAAAAAAGGCTGCCCACAACTCTGTTAATATATTTCATATTGATTGACAAGGATTTTAGTAGTGCATTTTTTCAGCTGTTAGGTGTGGTATGATGGCGTGACTTAAAAGCTATCTGATGTATAAAGCAGTGACGATGTCACTGAAATCACAGTTTAGCTTGTTTATCTTCCTTATTCTTTTTTTTTTTTTTTTTTTTTTTTTTTTTAAGGCTGCACTGGGAAATGGGGCTTTTTGGTTCTTCCTTAGAACTAACCAGATTTATAATTTTATTTTAATGAAAATTTAATTTTAGTCTGTACAAATATATATGGGAAAGATTTAACACAACAGAAACGGTATCTGAAACATATATATAATTAATCGTGTTTGCTTCTTCTAGGGAAAATCCAGAACGTACCTTTGATTTGGTACTGAAAGTAAAATGCCAAGCATCTGAAAATGAAGGTAATACACCGTGCCATGGTATTTATTTATAGAAATGAGAGGTAGAAGAAAAATAGTTTACATCCTGATCTAATGTCTTACGTTTTAAATTGCTGTTGGTTTTGGATTGTATTAGAAAGCGACTGTGGGTATTTTATTGCCTTTTAAAATCTATTTATGTGTTAATTCATAGCTGTCGTGGGGTTTCATTGTTGTATTTTCATTTTGGTTATTGTAAAAATGTTTTTGTTCAGAGAGAAGTACTTGCAAAGCTTGGACTTGAAATGCATCTTCTACAGTTCTTAAGACTTAAAATGTTGATTTTGTATAAGATTTCATTTCAGAAGAACAATTTACTTCTTTCAATCAGTGGAATGTTAGTTTTGATCAATGTGATAGGGAGAAAGTAAATCCTTCTCTGAAGGACGGAAAGAGACTTTCTTTCTAGCTTATGTTTGGCAGCTGCTTTGGTTTGATCCATGATACAAACAGCAGTGAGTGCTGACTTGAGTTTATAGTAGCCATCAGTTTCATGTCTATATAAACACATGGTAGAAGAGATGTGGTAGTGTAGGAGAGGCTTTTTTCCTCTTGGGTAAAAAGAAGGTGGGATTACCAGTGCTGAAATTAGAGAGACCTCTAGAAAGTCCATTGGGGGAACTCAGTTCATGTTCTTATCTGAGGTTGTTTGCCTTATAAAAACACAGGGAGAGAAGTCATCTTGATGGGGTTGTGTTGTAGTTGTGTTAGTCTGCGACAGCTGTGTCCTAATCACTATTGTAAAAACAATAAACTACATCTTAAAATTGAGTATATTTTTTATCCTACTGTGCTAATGGCTGCTGTTTCCAGAGTTTACTACTACAGTAGCAAGTTAGAAGCCTGTAGAAGTTTATAGCCCCAAACTATTGCTTGTTTTTAATTTCAATTAACATTTCTGTTAGTGGTGTTGTGGGTACATGCCCAAGATGTTTACAAAAACCATTTTTATTGAAGCTAAACAATTGTAGCTCTTTAGGTCTTTTCCTGACAATCCCAACAGGCTTTTCTCTACCTGTTGTATTATTTATTATCTATCATAGAGATCTCAAGTTCCTCTGCTCTTTTTTTTTTTTTTTTTTTTTCTTCTCCATAAGATTGTTCATTTAGTTGTGGAATGACATCTCAGTGATATCTCAGTCCTGGTGCAGTCCTTGGGTGTTTTCACTTTATTTGTGACCAGGCAGTGTCTTTCAGTTTATTGCCTGCTCTTTTGATTTGCTATTGGTACAGTCACAGTTTGGGGAATCGGGTGGGCTTTCCTAACTCTCTGATCTTTGTTGTGGCTTGCATCATTTTGCCTTCTATTCTCTCCCTTTGGCAGTTTTTATCCTAGTAATTCCATAGATGATGTCTGTGAACCCTGGTTCACTTGACTTGTGACCTGTTCCTCCTTGCATTGTGCACTTAGTCTCTGCCTCCACCTGACATCCCTTCCTGCAGGCCCGTTTGCTTAGGCCCAGCTTCAACCTGCAGATTTTATTCCCTTTCTTCCTTTTGCTCCTGAGAGCTAGGCTGTTGATAATCCTTTCAAGTCTTCATCTTGAAATCTTGAAAAACATGGGGTTTTTTCTTCTGTGATCAGAACATGGATCTATACCCTTTTAATTCCTTTTATCACTCTTTTGACTCCTGATTGTTTTGCATCTTTCTGCCTCTGCTGTCATAAGAAACCACTTCTCGTTACCTGCAGCTCTGTGAATGACTGACTGCGCCTGAATTCTGGTCGTAGTCACTTCCCCTGCCCCCCTCCATGGATGTTTCATGCTGTTCATTAGTTGTCCTCTGTGGAGAGTAGTGTCTTTAAGAAATCTGTGTGTCTCCTTGAACTGTGACCTGAGTTAACGTGGAGGCTGTCTTTGTGACCCTATTGTGGGTGCTCCCTCTATTATTCCACTTTTTGCTGTTACTGTTTATACCCCACATGGGCTCAGTTGCTGTTCGTCCGTGGGGTGGACAAAGGCAGGAAGGAGGTCGGATACTGGTAGCGTTGGAGTCAGGGGTGTGTGATCAGCAAGGGGTTTAGGGGTGTTTCAGCTGGCCTGGGGGTTGTATTGATTTCTGCATGAGTCTGCAGATCAGCACAACAGTAGTCCCCCTTTTACCAATCAGATTGTGCTGGCTGAATATTCCAGTTAACATCCGTACTTGGTGACCCATCTGGGATTTGTTTTAATTTCTTTCATATAATATCTAATTCGGATAACAAACTCGCTCCAGTGGGGGCTTGACATTATATTTACATATGGTGTTATGAGCACAGTGATGTATCAAATTATTATATCTGAATGTTCAAGTTATTTAAAGGAAATTCACAAGGGACAAAAGTGTATTGTCTTCACTACCACTTTAGAAATGGAACACAAGGCTTGTCATGCTAAACAGGGAGCTTTCAAGGTTGGTTTATTATAAGGCCTAACAAATTTGACAGTTACCCTGTATTGTAGGTCTTGCCTTTAAATAGATTTTCATGCTAGGATAATCTTTTGAATATATCATACTTGAAAACGTGATCCATTCACCTGTTTCTTTGCTCATGCCTCTTTCTTTCTTATGAAAGAGATTTGTGTTTAAATAGGGGCTTTCTTCCTCGCATCCCATCTGCTCCTTGTACTTGATCCTGAAGCTATGTCAGGGCTGAATTTGTGACATCACTGTCACCAGTGTTGCCGTGGAAATATCACAGCCACAAAATTATGATCTCCCTGCATCAGTGAGCAGCAGGAGAAGTTGACTTAGGAGAGAGGAAGACCTTAATGTGACCCGTGTATCTTTTAAGCTTTTTCTTTTCAAGCTTTGCTGCAGTGTGTATTCTCCCGCATTTTAATTTCCCTGTGCCAGCGTGCAACTGTTCTAACAAATAAAAACTGAGGTAGCTCTACTGCATGTGTAGCTATTAATAAGATGATGTTTTTATGAAGACGCTGTATGCCTGCAACAGTGTGACATGATGAAAAATTTTGCTGTTAAAATTATTACGCTTTTGGAAAAATATTTGTAGATAGCTTTCTAATTATAGCATAGCTTTCAAGGAATGTTATTTTTTTTTTCTGTCAATGTCCTAGGGCTCTTCCATCTATAAAGGGTCATACATACATGAAATGCAGCAAGGTTTATATGTATTATGAATTTTGTTCTTAAATCATTCCACTAATTATTCCCAACATTGTTTTCTGCTTAATATAAACACCTGAAAGGTTTCATGTAGGTTAATACAAATTTGTCACTTCATGTATGGTAGGTAGCTCCTGAATTGGTTACAGGCTCAGTTGTGCTAGCATGTCTTCAGTTATAGCTGGATCAAAATTTTGCTTTCCCATGAGATACCTGTTTTTTTGTGATTTAAGAGTAGCTTGTGTATTTGAATATTTATTTCTTAATACTGTGTTCTCCTTTTGGGCTGCTCTCTTTCTCTTTTTTAAACTACAGGAGTGCACCATAGTATTGCTGTAATAGTGATCTTCTAACCCTTTTCTCATTTTTGGGTCAGGAGGGAAAAAAGGGTACTCTTTACACAAATGTTCTTGTAATCGAGCACTCCATTGAACTAATAGCATGAATTGTAAAGTTTTTTGCTGCTTCTGACAAGCTTTGTGTACTCTTCACTTGAGTTATGTTAAAAAAAAAATCTTCTGTTTTATTCAGGTGGCATAATGTCTTCTCTTAGCACAAAACAGGATATGATTCCCTAAATAATTGAGAATATATTGCTTACTGTATTTTCAGAGTAAGTAATGTTTTTGTTATTATACTGCACCTAAGGCTTTGCCTTGAAAGTTGCATTTCAGCTGTGTTTAATTAGACAGTTGAGGCATATATTCCAAAGAGGAGAAAAAACCCTTTAGGACCAAAATCAGATTGCAGCCCATGTCATAACTTCCAGTCCTTTGCAGCACGGTCAAGATGGTAAACATGGATTAACATAGTATGTTGCAACATAGTAACTACTTAATGTGACAACTTTTTCTTGGGAAAATTCATAACCCCTTTCTCAGAGAACTTTGAGATTAATTAACTTCTGTTCACCAGAGTTTGAGAAGCAACTGTGAGATAAGTGCTAAGCTGTTCTAACAGCCCAATATTTGTTAATTGTGAATTTGGATTGCAGTGTCAGTAGCACCTTATAGCAAAAAGCTTTTATGTTGCCTCCTAGGCAGTTGCAGATATTTGTAATTCTTTCCTGTGTCACTCCTTGGTGAACAAGCAAGCAAAAGAAATAGCAAAATTGTGTGCCCATTTTAACATAATCGGCTGGCCTTCTGTATCAAATTTTCATTTACAGATCCAGGGGACAACTTGATAACAGACATTAATGTTGTTGAAACTGATGTGTTATTTTAAGGACAAGAATTGCTCTAGCTTTAGAGTAAAAAGATGCAAGCTTTTTGTGCTTCGAGCTGAATCACCCTTTCTAGGTATCGGGGGGTGTTACTGTTGTCCTGAGTGCATAGTCTCACATGGGGCTGTTGGTTCAAGAATGTATGACAGCTGTACTTACAGCAATTTTACTCTTTTCAGGCACTCTGTTGTCTCTTGAAAGTTACACTGCACCTAGTTCTGTAAGATATGCTTGGGCCTGGAAATTGGCTAACCAGAGCAATCTGCAGCTTTTTTTAAACTTCTTTTTATTTTTTAATATCCAGGTCCTTCCAGAATGAAAAGTAAACTAAATGTCCAAAATAATAATGCCAGTGTGATCTTTGTGAAGAGTGTATATTTATCTATGCATACACAAACATACACAATGTGTGCATACATACATGTGTGTCTGAACTTTAGATTTTGGTTAAATGTGCAAAGATGAAGTTGGTAATTTAACTAATTCTATAAACTGTACGTCTTACATTAATTTTATTAAGGCTGGATTGGAGAGGCCAGACACAAAAGTCAATGCAAATAGAACACCTAGTAGTAGACAGGCGATGTGCACCAACTTCTGTGAACGTAAGGTGTTCAGCATTTCTGTCCACAGTTTTCCAAGA